AAACCATGATCTTTTACTCTCACCTCAGGCACACTTTGTCCTTAGATCATGACAATGTGCTTAAGGATGGACCCCTGTTCAGTCTGACCACAACACATGTTCAATGTTCAGTCTACTCACAGCACACTTTATCCATGAGCAAGACTGACAAAATTAAGGAGCTTACTCATTTTTGTTTTGTACTGGCAGTCTGTGATATTAACACACAATGTTGTCACTTAAAAAAAAGCTGAAAAATACACAGCTGAACTCTGAAGCCCAGAGCAAGTAACTTTACTCTTAGATTTAGGTTTTTTTTTGTTTCACACAAACCTGAGAACTCCTTCTGTGACACGTTTACATCTGTCTGATTTTTTTTTTCTACCCATTCAAGATCTCAAGGTTCCTTTGCTGACAGGGCATTCCCAGACAGTGTGGATCTGTTAAATTCACCTCCATATTTAAAGGATTTCACTGGTGGTGTGTGGTCTCTGCGTCACAGCTGGGAAACAAACACATTAGGCCTACAGGTAAGTAAGGGTATTATATCACTGTGAGTAAATAGACCACACAAAGTCCTATCTGTTCACCCTGCTGTCAAAAGATATCTCCAAATAGTTTAATGTCAAAAGGAAAGAAATTAAAGTGGCTCTTTTAGACATGTATTGTTCAAGAATGCAAGCTAGCTGTCCAAGTGTTTAACCTGTTGCCTGTCACAAGCCCTTTTGACCTTTCTGTTCTTTAGTCCTTTACAGGGAAAAAAAAACATTAATAGGTCTTCAGATACACTAACTGTATTCTAGAAATTACTGCCACTTTGCGAACAGCTGGGTATGGTCCTTCCTCCACCAATCAGAGTGGATGTTCATTCACCCATCCTGTCTCCATGAAAATATACATTCCTGTATTTGTGAATGATTCAGTCACACTTTCATGTTTAAAGGTCACTCTGCAAGCACTTGGTTTCAATTCCATTACTGGGTTCACTATTGTGCGTATACATACAGTAGCATGCACATGCTCACCTATTTGAATCACAGGTTTTTAAAAATCTTTCTATGAAATGCCTTGCACAAACTTATGCATTATGCAGGAGCGGCAGTGTAGCGTAGTGGTAAGGAGCAGGAATTGTTACCAAAAGGTTACCGGTTGTTTGATTCCCTGATGGGGCACTGCTGTTGTACCGTTGCGAAAGGTACTTAATCCAATATTGCATCAATAAATGCCCAGCTGTATAAATGGATAATGTAAAAATTCCAACCTGTGTAAGTCACTCTGGATAAGAGTGTCTGCTAAATGACAATAATGTAATGCAATGTAATTATGGCTGGCCACTGTCAGCCGGAGGAGTATCTGACTCACAGCACAATTCACACCTTTGTGTGCGATGCTCTGGTGTCATGTCATCGTCAGGTCAGTAAAGCGCACTCCCTCCAACTCTCCGTGATGCAACGAAAGTGGAATGCAGTCAGATAGTACAGAGGATAACAGAGGGGTGGACTGACATGGGGGATCTACTGTAGATGAGCAACGTGATACCACAGTGGAGTCCCGTTTTTGTTTTTTCTTTCACCAGCGCTAGCCTGACAGTTAATTAAACAGGAGTCAGGCGCAGCAGGGCAGCATGTTAGCATGCGGCGTCCGAAGCATCAGCCACCAAAACAGGGTACACATGTTGTTCCAGACTCCGTGCATGTCCTCTGTTTGGGGTTGACACAGAGACACTGTTGTGGTTTTACAGCTTAAAGCCCTGCCAGATGGCAATGTGACTTCCCCTGGCATGCCCCGATGTGCACCCACATTAGTTCACTGGCTTCTGATTCTTCTGGGACTTTAATGTCCGTTGAGAGCTAGTGGATAGGTTATGGATATAAATCTGCTGCTTGCTTTATTTTTCTTTGGTTTACATATGCTGTTATAGTCAATTTCTGAATCAATGTAAAAAAGGTGATAAAAAGTCTGAATTTATCTAGCTTCAAACAGATCTTGGAATGGAGTGTGGGCCAAGAAAGAGTCCTTTGGACATTTATAATAGAAACTGAAGGAGCAAACACTTTAAGTCCTGAATATAACACTGATTACTGTACTTAATAAGGAAAGTGTCTGATCATTAGTGAATGTTAAGCCCAGTGTCTGAACTCCTTGGAGAACAAGATGTTATGGGGTGCTGAACAATAACTGCTACGTGGGGTATGGTTGTATTACTCAGGCATCTTGGCATTTAAAGAAGAAGGTAAGTCACTTGAGAGCAGGGTCTTTTTCCCCCCCAACCTAAATTGGTAGCAGCTGCCTTGGAACTGCGCTCAAGCCTTGAAGTGCAGGGCAGGATTAGCAGAGAGCACAATAGGAGGGTTTGCAGGGGGATGCCTGTCCTTTTGAAAGGGTATCATTTAGTCCCTTCAGCCGTAGATCATCTTCATCTTACAGCGGGAGCTGAGCGGGAGATTTGTATCAGAGCCCATCAGCCCTCTGAAGGTCCCCGTTTGATGCCGGGCTCTGCAGCGATCCGTCTGTGGGTTTGAGGGGAGCCACATAGCTCCCCCCTCCCTGCCCCACAACCCCCCCTCATGACTGGTATGCGTTCCACACAATAGGGGAGAGACAGCCTCATTAAGGCTCTGGAGTGGGGTGTGGTGGCATCCCCAGGCCTCACATTCACTGGCATTGCTCTCAGCGTGCATAGAGGACCCTCTGGCCCTTCAGCAGAGTGGGTGAAAGTAGAGATAACCACAGTTTTACCCTGAACCCACGTGGGGTCCTGCTCATACAGTTGAGCCCCCTGCCTGCATTGACCCTGTCTTTAGTTCATCCTTCTATTCCTACTGAGCACATACTGAGCTGCTCTGAGCATTACATTACATTACATTACATTCAATTAGCAGACATTCTTATCCAGAGTGACTTCCAGCACAAAAGAACTGAAGTGCATCCATTCAAGCTGAATGAGTAACAGTGTCAGACCAGGCTAACAACACTCCCAAACCAGTGAGTGTGAGCACAACACCGTTCAAGCCCTACCACAACTTAACTTGTGCAATCTGACCAGACAAGGAAGCCAAGTATACTACAATACATCAGTCACTAGATCACAGAATCCAAAACACGTTGTGATGTAAAATCAACAGCAAGTAAATCAAGTAGCATGTGTTAGGAGGTGGGGATTGAGGTGGAACCAGTGAACACTGATGGGGCATCTAGATTCCCTCGTAAGACTTGACGAGCCTCTCTGCCTTTTTTCAATTCATTCTTGGTTTTTGTCTTATCATTGGGCCATCTGACTGTCTGGTGCAATCACAAATTTGGCTTACTGTTATATAGAAAAGTAACATATCAAGTGCCCATATGAGGACACTGAATACCTTTGTTTGAAAACAAATTGCTTGTTAAACAGCCTTCACAGAGAGCGGTGACTTGAAGCTAGTTACATTCTATACCAGAGTGCAAACAAGAATGACTTCCTGTCACGGTAGAATAACAGCATTAGTAGCCACTTAAGTGGTTGTTTAAAGGATCTTAGATACACCAAAAATGCCGCAAAACTTCCGTCTTTCTTCAAAGGGTCTGTGTTGGTTTCAGCTGCGGCTGGGCACAAAATCTTTTCCCCCTGGGGGGGACGGCTGTCACTTCCCCTGCCGTCTGTCATCACTTCCTGTTTGTGGGGCTGGGGGTACTGACAGCTCACAGGTGTCTGATGCAGAGTGTTATTTATCAGCGTCTTGGCAAACTTCAGGGATCCTCTGCAATAGTTACCGCTATTCAATCCAATTGGTTTTTGTAGATGCTAAAGCTAAGCTAATAGCTGCATCCCTTCTCTTTGTCACTATGATTTTTCAGGGCAGTTCAAGGATGAGGTCTTTGATCATGGAAAATGACCAGAATGGAAAAAAGACTGAACACAGCCGTGGCCAAGATATTTCAGAAATGCTTTCCTGAAAGCAAAAAAGGCAGGGAACATGCCTTTAAAATGGTATTCATACCAAACCTGATCTGACTGTTTTTTGTCAAGAACAAAATTACTACTGTAGGTAAGGGTGACGGATCCATTTGCTCTTCACTGTGCTTAATGCTGAGGCACTACCTTTTTTGCATTTGCAAATGAAATCATTTTGTGAAAAAATTATACTGTTGGGTCACATTAAAAAAATTAGATCACATAGTTATTAGTTTCGGAATGAATTGTTTCTTGATTACAAATGAGATTATTTCATGTGATGGGCAAAAAGTGCATTTAATGAGGATGCCACTGAGATGCAACTGTCAGATGCAACTGAGTAACAAGGAATTGGATGCTAATGGATTCTCCTAATTTAAATTGACAATCTTGTTAACAAGTAACCAATCAATCAAAAACAGGTTTAGCACAGTTAGTGAATAGAGATCAGTCTTCACCTCCTCTGTTTGTCACTCACCAGTTGCCTTTGACATTTCATATGCAAATGTGAAACATTTAAATTCATTTTTCATCAAAAAAGTACAAACAGATACAATATGTATTAACTTGAATGTGGTCTACATTGTGAGGTCAGCTCGCCATTCTGTCTTCTAGGCCGATGAGAGGGCCATTTTAGGACACTTTTTCATTAAGACAGCTGGCTGTGGAGCAACACGTCATACGCGTGCTGTCATTTTCAAAAAATGCCTCCCACATCCATTCAGCGCTGACGATAATTAGATGGTGCTTGTTGCTCAGATGCTTGTTCTGGTAGAGCGCACAGAGAAATGAAGAGGAGTGGGTTTCACAGAATCCCGCCTTTGTTCTCATGCATCCTCGGAGGTGCAGTGACAGGGCGCGTTTATCTCTCAAAAAAAAACCTTCAGCAAAATGCAGGCCTTTTCCATGTCTGTGCATTTTTGAGAGGTAGTGGAATACCATCTATATACACTACCATACATTATTGTCATTCAGCAGACGCTCTTATCCAGAGCAACTCACATAGGTTACATGTTTTTGCATTATCCATTTATACAGCTGGATACTTCCTGAGGCAATTCTGGGTTAAGTACCTTGCCCAAGGGTACAGCAGCAGTGCCCCAGCAGGGAATCAAACCAGCAACCTTTTGGTTATAAGCCCTACTCTTTACCACTATGATACACTGCTGCTTCTATGTGAGAAGATGAAAGACAAACTCTGAGACGGCCTCTGAAAACCAGTAAACAAAAGATCCTTGTGGATCTTTTATCCACCACCACTGTGTCTGTCATTACAAACCTGCTGACTCAATCAAACCTGCCATGTCACCTTAAAAGAAATCACTGTTCAACATAAATAAATAAGCACCTTCTGAGATTAGTTCAACAGCATATCATACTAAAACAACCCCTGGATTCGGTCAGCACCCGCAAGCCATCTTAACATAAAGAAGTCACTTTGTTGTAGTGAGGTATGATTCATTGATTACATATTTCTTCCCATTACAATGACTTTGAACCCAGGAGAATGTCCATGTCCCTGGTTCAAAATTAGATGGTATGATCTGTGTGACACACATGCAAGCTGGCCTGACCCACGGCAGAGCCTGGCATCACAGACCCACCCATCCTCCTCAGCACAGTCTCTCCTGCAGCATAGAAAAAACTACAACACTGAATGTTATGACAAAAGCCATGGATAAAGGATGATGTGCCCACAGTTGGTAACGTGGGAACAAAGCCATTTCCTTTCCAGGAATTGTCAAAATATATTCCGGCCCTTGACTGCCGAAGGATATGTTACAATGTTGTGGGGATAGGTTTCAGCCGGAGGTACGTGAAGACAAGCTCCAGCCTTGGATTTACTGGGTGTCGTTCTGCTCGGTTAATCGCTGACAATCTCCCTCTGCGGGCTTGACTGCTTGCTGCTCCTGCGCATCCCCCAATGCAAGCGACAATGTTCTGTCTGTCAGATCACTCTTGCCTGTTTTCGCGCAATCATTCTCTTGGGCTATTTATGTGAAATGGTCAATACATATGTTCAGTGGTAGCCGTTAAAGCCATTACTCTCTGGTTGGAGCGATCTTTCAGTCCTGATCTACTTATACCTCATAATGGGGGTCCACAGCCTTTTAGTTCAGTGCTAGAACACCCCAAAGGGCAGCATAGTCAACAGGTGGCATTCAATGCATGATTCAGTTGACTACACTGGCAGTGTAGCATAGTGGTAAGGACCAGGGTTCGTAGTCGAAAAGTTGCCATTTTGATTCCCCGCTGAGGCACTGCTGTTTTATCCTTGGGCAAGGTTCATAAGCCAGAATTACCTCAGTAAACTTGTACAAAAATGGTAAACTATGTAAGTCGCTGTGGATAAGAGCGTCTGCTAAATGCTAATAATATAATGCAATGTAACTGCAGCGAGAGGATCTCTTTAAGCTGCTGGTCATGGCCCACAGATGCAGTGACACGTCCCCCTTTCCACAGGACTCAAAGGTATATCAAGCCATTTCCATTCACGCAGAACAGACACCTGTTTGAGTGTCATCTATTTTACAAATTATTTACTATCACACAAGGAAACAGAGGAGCATCCAGACAGGTGTGTGGAACAGGGCGGACTGCCGGACATGGGGGTGGGGGTGTGTGTTTGGGGGTTGGGGGCATGTACAGGAATGCATGGCATACAGTAGCACCAGCCTGGTTCAGGCTTCAAGCGCATAACAGCCGAGGAGTCTGGCGAGTCTTGTGCCGTGCTCTGTATAAATTTATCCATATGTCCATCTCCCAGAGACGAGGATCACATGCAGTTATCGGCCCATAGATTACTGTTTTTATGGGCCCGGTATGGGGGCTGAAGAAAACGATCCAAGTCATGCCCATAGACAGACATTAGCCTCAGCTATCAAATGTTCTCTTCATCTTTTTACAGTGCAGCCAGGAAAAGCCCTACGCCTTACACCCCCTACACAAGCTGTCATCATTGCATACTCTTAAATATTTAACTTCCTCAAGAGATTGAGCTGTAATACTAGATATTTCCCTGTAATGCGTGCTGACTGCTGCAGACAGATGTGAAATTTCAGGGTACGAGGGAGTCTGTAATCAGCTTCTCGGTGCCTTTTCCTCTCATGTTCTTGGCTGGGTCAGCCAGGCGAGATACATTGTTTCTGCTTTTTTTCCACATTTACTGTACCTTCTGTTTCTCATATTGAGCTTATTACATGCGGTATGGTTAAGTATCATTAAGAAGTTGATCTTGACAATTTATGAACAACTCTAACCTGGATGCTGAACATGGATTCTTATAAATTAGCACATAATCAGTGTCTCTGACCAAACAGTGGGTGTTATGTAGTTTAATTGCATTGCTAAGAAAATGGGTTTTTACTATAATTCTGTCTTTAAATGTGACAGTACATTCCTGTTTCCACTGTTGCCTTCTGTACTGTTTGTGCAACTCCTAGTGACTAACTTTCAACCATGGAAACTTTTTTAATGATTTCAAGCTACAGAAGCACAGTTCTCTTCCCAGAGGCAGAGAAATACCACTCAATACTGAGTCTCATTTGGTCTGAAAGGCTCATTTGCACAACACAGCACCTTTCAAAACCTTTTTACCTCTTTACTTAAGTAACTAGGTAGATTTCAAGAGATATTGGCCACTTCTGACCATACCTGTACAGTGAGGTCTGACTATTATTCTAGCAGACCTGAACTGAGCGTAAGGGCACCAGCTGAGAAGTGTTGCCTTTGAGCTGCTTCGCACTTGCTTTAAAGATTTACATATCTGAGAGGACATGACGAGGCATGACATGAGGTCATCATTTCAAAGGAATATAGTGAAACATTTAAACTAAAGCAAAATGCTGAAATCCATGGCATTTCCCTTTGCCCTGGCGACCTGGTAGTGTTTCCTCTGTGTTTGCTGCGCATATGTTCAGAATTGTGTCAGACCAGGGTGAGTTTCCTTCCACTATCAGTTGAAAGGATCTTCTAATGGCTAATGGAAGTAGAGCTTCACACCTTACTGAGTGCAACTTTATACACCAGTGATTCATCACTTGGCCCCCATGTCACTCACTGCAAAAAGCGTGTGCCTCCAGGCCTTATGGCACGGGCTGAGAGGCTCTCCGCAGTCCTGCGGGCAACATGATCCCGAAGAACAGGTCCCCTCCGCGCCCGTTTGCAGGGGTGCCCCCTCTTCGATCACAAGTGCTTTTCACAGCTTTGTCTGGCTACCTTAATAATCTGAGGAATTAGAGGTTTTGGACCAAATGTTTGCAGCTGCCTGCCCATTCAGTGATGATTGGTAGTATATCACTATGGACAGAGGCTGTAATATTGTGATGATGTGGCTTATCCACAATGTAATGTAGCTATATATTTACATCAGCAGAGAAATATATGGAAATATATTTCTACAAAACATACAGTATATGATCTAATAACATATATTTATATTAATATATATACATGTATTTTTGTTTTTTTTTCAAGATATTTGTGATTATCATAATGCATATAATGTATCTGAATATTTCTCTTATTGCCAGTTTATGTGGGGATGTTCAACTAGCTTTTTAATTGTAGCCAAACTTGAGGAACTCACACTTCCCCAACAATGTCGACGAACACTCCCACCCCTTTTCTTCAGCAGTGAGAAGGTAATAATATTTCCTGTTCTTACCATGAGAAACGGGATTAAAATAATCCGGTACTAAACTCTGTGGAACTGGGTCTTCTAATTATGCCCCCCCCAACATCAGACACCTTTTTGAGAGTGACCCCTGAGCCAGAAACCCCTCATTATGCTCTTAGCGCATCGGGGCCGCCACAGGGGCGGCCCCCTCATCACAGGCGATTCAGCCAATCCCTGCCCCCGGGGCCTGTTCCCATCAGCCACCATTCAGACAGGAGGGGAGTCTGGGCGAAATCAGCCCGGGCCGCACTGACATTTCGTGCCGCTAAGGTGAATCTGTGCCTGGGGCTGGATAGGGGCACTGGTGCATCTCACAGCTGAAAACTTCAAGCAGGTCCTGATGAATTGCGGCACGGAAACCGGGCCCTTCTCTAATGGATATCTGAGAACACAGGGAAACCCCCCACACACACCAGCCCCCCATGATAAATTAGCATGTGCTCACAGTGTTTCAGTACATTGATAAGTATTGGATGTGACAGTGCCCTCCACCATGATGTGAGTGGGCTAGCACATGGGAGACCCTCTGTGGATTTTTGCATGGGAGATTTTTTTCCAAATAAATCACACTTAAACCCACATTCAAAATAACCACAATTTGCTTTGACTGTGACTTTGAATAATAAATTCAGGCAAGTTCTGAGTCTTTTTGTTGTTGTTGTTCAGTTTTGTTACACTCAGACAAGATCATGACTTACCTGTTTGTTGGCATTGACACTACTACACGTAAAAATATTAAAAAAAGAAATTCCTGAATTTGTTGCACCAAGTTAAGGACAAGACACATTGCTGTATAGATTGAAAATGAACTAAAGCCTAACATCTGTTTAAATTCTGAATATAGTATCTGACTTACTTTTCTACCTGAAATTGCCATGATGTCTTTTTACTTACACAAATATTCAAATATTATTCATAATCCCTGTAGTGTGCTTCCTGTCAGTGGCATTGCCGGTGAACTGTATCGGTGAACCAGTTTCCAAATCCTCTTTCTCTGAAAGGGTACTTTTCAGAGAATTGCTCAGAAGAGCCTGTTCCACCTGCAAGTTTATATGTGACACAAGTGTCTCAGTTCAATCTTCAATTCTCAGCCATCGAATTCAATTAAGGGTTTTAGTAAAAAGCTGGTTCTGCAAGGGACCGTTTTGTGTCTGTGAAAGCATGTGGAATAGTTTTCGGTAGAACTGTTGAGTCTGTTATGACCTTGTCCTGGGTTTCTAACTCTGGTGATATATGTGCAATGAAGAAAAATGACCACTAAACTAACATAATTATTTTAAATTGTTATATAATAGACTAATGTTTTTGAATGATTTCAGATGGACCACTTTTTATTTTTATTTGGTAAAGGAGTAATCCTATTAACTCTTTTGAATGTGTTCTAATTCAGTTTAACATTATTAACACACTGTATTTGTCACAATCACCCATGGAAAAAAATATCAAATAATATTAATTAAAATGACAGGTCAGATTAGATGGTATAATGT